ATTCCCAGGAATCTATGAAGGTGACCCTAGCTAAGACTCCTAGCAATGAGGGATACAAAGCCTGAACTGGCCATCTCCTGTAACCAGGCAAGACTTTCAGTAGAAGGATTGGGACACCAAACCAGCCACATAACCTTCAACCTACAATTTGTCCTGCCTACAAGATGTGATGCAGTATAGGTGGCATAGAAATTGTGGGAGTGGCCAACCAATGACTGGTCTAGCTTAAGACCCATGCCACAAGAGGGAGCCCACCCCTGACACTTGCCTGGAGGACCAGCACTCAGAGGCTGGATATCCCAGAGACCTAGGATAGAACCAAACACAACTGGCAAAAAAAGAAAAAAAATCAGTGAAATGATTCCTAATGATATTCTGCTATACTTATAGATTGATGCCTAACCCAATTGTCAACAGAGAGGCTTCATCCAGCAATTGATGGAAACAGATGCAGACCCACATCCAAACATTAGGTGGACCTCGGGGAAATCCTGCAGAAAATGGGGAGGAAGGATTGTAGAAGCCAGAGGGGTCAAGGACACCATAAGAAAACCCACAGAATCAACTAACTTGGGCTCCTAGGGGCTCACAGAGACTGAACCAACAACCAGGGAGCCTGCGTGGGACTGACCTAGATCCCCTGCATATATGTTACAGTTGTGTGTAGCTTGGTCCTCTTGTGGGACTCCTAACAGTGGGAGCAGGGGCTGTCTCTGACTCTTTTACCGGGTTTTAGGATCCTTATCCTTTATGGACTGCCTTGTCCAGCCTTCAATTTGATATGCCATGTTTGGTTGATATCTGGCCCTTCTCTGAATAGAAATGGAGGAGGAGTGGATGGGGAGGGCAGAGAAGAGGTGGGGGAGGGACTGGGAGGAGAGGAAAGGGGAAACAGCCTTTGGGTTGTTAAAAAAAATTAATTAGAAAAGGAAGGAAAAGAAAAGAAAATTTAAACTGACAAACTTGTCTAGACAGGTTAAGAAGAAATATGTAAAACACAAGTTAGTAACATTAGAATGAAACAGGAGATATTGCCGCTGACTGTGACTGTTCAGGTATTAATAAGATTTTATTAGCATCTACATGCTAACGCTTTGACAGCTCATATGAAATGAACACTTTCTTTGAAATATACATGAAAACTAACATAAGTAGGAAATCCAGATCAGCTCATTTCCATTCAAGATATTAATTCCATAATTAAAATATTACCCAAATGAAACTTGAGGTGTAGATGGCATCACAAGTCAGTCTTCCCGAATACTTAAGGGGGAAATTTCATGTAAACCGTGAGGCTATACCGTTAACACCAATACCTGATAAGGACATTACAAGGAAGGAACAGTGCACACTCTCATAACCACAGACACAAGCCCTAACACCTTCATAAACTAAACCCAGTGACAGGGAGGAAAAAAAACCCCACAACCATGGAGTTTATTCCAGGAGTGTAAAGTTGGTTTAGTGTTTGAAAAGCTATTAGCACAATCTACCACATTAATATATAAGCCGGGCGGTGGTGGCGCATGCCTTTAATCCCAGCACTTGGGAGGCAGAGGCAGGCGAATCTCTGTCAGTTCGAGGCCAATCTGGGCTACAGTGTGAGTTTCAGGAAAGGCGCAAAGCTACACAGAGAAACCTTGTCTCAAAAAACCAAATATATATATACATATATATATATATATATGTATATATATAAAACTGTACCAGACGTTTTTCTTTTAGCCACCAACCAGCTCCAAAATCACGACATGGTGACTTATTGTTTATGAATGCCCAACCTAGCTTAGGCTCCTTTCTGAATAGATCTTTTAACTTCAATTAACCTGTTTCCCTTTTTCTACCTTTTACTTCGGAGCTTTTTACCTTTCTCACTTCTGGATATCTTACTTTTACTGCTTCTTTATGTCTGTCTGTCTGGTGTCTGCCTGGCTTCTTGCCCCGGGTGTATTCCCTGTTCTCTCCTGCTTCTCTCATTCTTCCCTTTTCTTCCAAGCCTAGATTTCTCCTCCTATTTATTCTCTCTGCCCACCAACCCCACCTCTCCTTTCTCCTCCTAGCTATTGGCCATTCAACTCTTTATTAGACCAATCAGGTGCCTTAGGCAGGCAAGGTGTAACAGATGCAACACATCTTTACATAATTAAATGCACATCTTTACATCATTAAACAAATGCAGTATAACCAAAAGTAACACACCTTTACACAGTAACAGTAACAGTCTGCAGCATAAGCAAATGTAACACATCTTTGCCCAGTTAATATTCCACAACATAAAACAACTGATAAGATTAACACTATGACCTCATCAGATGCAGAAGAAAACACAACAGTTGGTAATTGTTTACTTAAAAGGACAGGCTGGAGAAATGGCTCAGTGGTTAGGAGTGTTTGCTGCTCAGTCATGAGGACCAGAGTTCATATCCCAGTGCCCATGTTACAAGGCATTTCACAAATGCCTATAATCCGAGCTCTGAGGGATCAGAGGCCTTCTTCTGGCTTCTGTACTCTCTCTCTCTCTCTCTCTCTCTCTCTCTCTCTCTCTCTCTCTCTCTCAAAAACTTCTTAAGGCAGCAATGAAAGGAAACTTCCTCTGAAGCTCATAGAACATCACATTTTCCGCTTGAGGTTGGGGAGGGAAATGAGAGTATCTAATATACCATTTCTAGTGTTTTATTGGATGTGCTAGCTGATGTAATAACACAAGAAACTGAAACAAAAAGCCTAAGTTCTGAAAAGATTTATAGATTGTTCATGTGGAAAATCCAAATCTTACTAGAGGTAGTAAATATATTTAGCAAGGTTGCCAAATACCATGTCAGTGCATGAAAATCAACTGTAGTTCCACATAGAAGGAATCATTGGACAACAAAACCCAAGGGCTGGGGAGAGGGCTCAGTGGGTAACGGGCTTATTGTGCAAGCACGAAGACTTGAGTTTGGTCCCCACCATCCATCAAAAGCTGGGCATGATATTTCACACCTGCAATCCCAGCACGAGGGAGGCAGAGACAGGAGGATGCTTGGGATTTGCCGGCCAGCCAGTCTAGCTGAACTGGTGAATTCTAGGTTCAGTGACAGACATCAGCTTCCACACAATGCATGCACACATGAACACACACACACACACACACACACACACACACACACACACACACACACAAGGAAACAAAATTAAAATGTCATCTATAGCAGCATTTAAAAACACCAAGTGTATCGGAGTAAATCCAGCAAAAGACACACTGTACACTTGTACAATGAGAACTACAAACCACTGCTGAGAAGAATTAGATAACTAAATGTTCCTATTTTTAGAACATTTAATATTAAGATGTTAATTCTCCCCCAAACTGACCCATAAATTCAACATAGACAACAACTACAGCCCCAGCGGGATATGTACATGTATAGAAGTTAATCAGGTCCTAAAATATACTCAGCAGTGCCAAAGTCCAAGAGAACCTAAGTAACCTTGAAGGACAAGTTCAGAGTACTTAATTGTAAAGCCTCTGGAATTAAGACACTGGCATAGAAAAACGATGAGGAGAAAGACCAGGATAATAGAATAGGTAGCCCCCCAAAAGGTCTACACCTGCTTGACCCCAAAGAGACACTGCCAGGCAGAAGCTGAGCCACTGAATATTCAAATTTGGGATGAGAGTACCAAGCCTTGTTGTCTTCCTCAGTCCCCTTAGGTGGCGAACCTGAGGTGTAAGTAGTGAAATGACAAAGCTAAAAGAGTATTACCTTCTGGAAGGAAGTGGGTAGACTCTAAGATACAAGGGCTCTCATGATATATGAAAAGATCATTAAGTAGGTCTCATTGAAACCAGAAATTCACAGGCTGGGCATTGTGATTTCATTCTTTAATCCCAGCACTTGAGAGGCAGAGGCAAGTGGATCTATGTGAGTTCAAAGCCAATCTGATATATATAGTGAGTTCCAGGCCAGCCAGGATATATACAGTGCATACCTTTAATCCTAGCACTGGGGAGGCAGAGATAGGTGGGCATTTGTGAGTTCTAGGCCAGCCAGAGCTACATAGTGAGACCTTGTCTCAAAAAAAGAAAAGGGCCGGGCGGTGGTGGCGCACGCCTTTAATCCCAGCACTCGGGAGGCAGAGCCAGGCGGATCGCTGTGAGTTCGAGGCCAGCCTGGTCTCCAAAGCGAGTTCCAGGAAAGGCGCAAAGCTACACAGAGAAACCCTGTCTCGAAAAACCAAAAAAAAAAAAAAAAAAAGAAAAGGGCCTGGGCAGTGGTGGAACATGCCTTTAATCTCAGCACTAGGGATGCAGAGACAGAGGCAGAGGCAGGCAGATCTCTGAGTTCGAGGCCAGCCTGGTCTACAGAGTCAGTTCGAAGACAGCCAGGGCTACAAAGAGAAACCCTGTCACGAAAAACCAAAACAAAAACCAAAACCAACCAACCAACTAACCAAACTCTTAGAAGTTAAGATTAGGGAAGCAATCATTAAGACTAAAATGGCCAGCCACAGATCCTCATGAGTATTTATAATATACTGATCTGACACAAAACTGGTGTCCAAAACGTACAAGAAATACCTGCAAACCAAGATCTGGAGTATCATGGATCTAAGAAAGAGAGATTGGTAGCACTCACAGAATGGTCCAAGTGGCAAGGCCAACACCAGTTGTGTGGCAGATGGGGTGAATCCCAGCTGGTAAGCCTGAACTATATCTTCTAAAACTAAATGTTGTACCCATCTATGACACGTGATTTTACTTTTAGGTATTTAGGTATTCGCCAATAAACGTGAGTTTATCTGAAAGGCAAGTGCAGGAATCCACTTGGATAAAGAGCTTTCCCCCTCTACTACCAGAACAGTTTCCCAGGACCAACACTATCTGATTTTCACAGTCCTCAGAAATCCCAGGACCCCAGGAGGCAGCAGAATCTGGGCCTCCTCCTCTATCCCCAAATCCCTATGCCTGCTCCTTTGAATAGGGCTGACTGCAAATGCGGAATGCAAATGGTACGGACTGTTTTCTTCTTTGTGATCTTCATCGGGCAAAGTGGAAGACAGCTTCTTCCTTTCGCCATTCTCCATGCTCGCCTCGAGTAGCTGGTTCCTTTGGCCCCCAGCCCCTGCTGACAAGGGTGGAGAGGTCAGACATACCCAGGGAAGCAAGGGTGGGGTTCTGAGGCCCGTGGTGTGGGAGGGTGGTCTGGGAGGGAGGTCTGGGGTAAGGGGACATGTCATGAGCTGGAGGCTTGGGGGTGAGAAGTCAAATGGAAAGACGGGCCAGTGGGGGAAAGGTCTGAGAGTGAGATGGGTAAATTAGAGTAGAGGACAGCTCAGGGTTAAGGAAGGAAAGCCCGGGGTTGAAGAGAGAGGTTTGGGGCAGAGTTAGGGAGGTCTGAGTGGGAGAACCAGTCAGGGGTGGAACACGAGTCTGGAGCTAAGAAGGGGAGGTCAAGGTAGGGAGACAGGTCAGAAATTGGGACACAGGTTTAGGGTCGAAGGGGAGGCAGTTACGGAGTTTGGAGGGAGGTGGGAAGGTGAAGGAAAGAAGGTTGAAAAGGCAGGGTGGGGTGAAAGCGGACAGGTGTCAGGGTATAAGGCTGGGAAAGTTTGGCGGTTCTAAGGAGCGAAGCCTGGGGATTCCAATCGGAGGGGGGCGGGGCGGGGTTCGGAACGCGGGGTGGGAGGGGGACCTGGGCGCTAGCGAGGACGGGCCTGGCGTGTCTGAGGGCAAACAGTGCTCACCTGGGACCCGCCCTGAAGCGCGTGCTGCTCTGCAGGAGCCACGAGCCTCTCGGCTGGGCGTCTTGTGGTCGCCCCGGGCAACGGCCCCTGGCTGCGCGGCGCATTGTGCAGACCCATGGCGCTGGTGGCCTGGCTTGCGGCGTCCTGAGTGGCGCCCTACTCGGGGTGTGGGGCTTCGCGGACGCACAGGCAGTAGGGGCTGCAGACGGCTGCGCACGTGGGGAGGCCGATGGCTGCGGCGCGCAGTCGATACCCGAGGAGCGGACTGAGTCCGGACACCGTTGCTGGCACTCACATTGAGCTTTGGTTCTGGATCTAGTCCCATGCTGCGGTCCGAGGAATGGCCAGTGCCGTGGCGGGGACGGGGGCGGGGACTAAGGCTCCTGACAGTGCGGGCCCGGGCCATGCATCAGGGTTAGCTCTCAAGTGCCCGCTATCCCCGCCAGGGTCATGAGTTCCCGCTCCACATCTCCCACGCACCTGTCAGGGTCACACAGACAACCCTAGCACTCAGACTACACCAAGTCACAAAGACCAGGGAGTCACACCCTGCCCCACCCTCGACTTCCTCCCTCCTGGCTCCCTTGCTGTTCACAAGACGCCTCCACATAGGTCAGAGGTGGAGATGGAGTCCCAGGGTCCTTCCAGGCAGGTGTTCTCCCCAGTCCCTTTGCCAGCTGAGAGTGTCTCCTCGAGGTCAGGGTGGCTGTGGTACCTAGGTTCATTAGTGGGGTACCTATGCTGTGCACTCGGTGTTCCCAGGCTGTCCCCTTCCCTACAGTCACTCACTGCCTTAACAGGTCAGTTCCTGTCTTTGTCCAGTTCCCTATGTGGCACTTTGGGCTGTGTTAAGGAAGGCCCATCCATCCATCCATCCATCCATCCATCCATCCATCCATCCATCCATCCATCCAAGTCGTCATTGTTTTGGGTTTTGTTTTTGCTTTTTGAGACGGGGTTTCTCCGTGTAGTTTTGGTGCCTGTCCTGGATCTCGCTCGCTCTGTAGCCCAGGCTGGCCTCGAACTCACAGAGATCCGCCTGGCTCTGCCTCCCGAGTGCTGGGATTAAAGGTGTGCGCCACCGCCACCCAGCATTGTCACTGTTTTAAAGCCTAAACTTCAGATCATTTTCATTTGGTTTAAAGCAGTGGATCATGACCCCCTTGCAGGAGTCACATATCAAATATTCTGCATACCAGATATCTACATTATGAGTCATAACAGTAACAAAATTACAGTTATGAAGTAGCAGTGAAATAATATTATGGTGGGGGTCACCATAACATGAGGAACTTTATTGAAGGGTCGTGGCATTAGGGTGAGAACTGCTGGATCAAAGGCATCTTTATTTCATAGGTCTTGCTCTCAGGTGTAGGAGGCTTCTTCCTGACTGGTGATCCAGGCTTTACTCACCATACACATCAAAAAATAAATTAAAAATGGCTTTCCACTCTAAGGTCCTACTTCTCATCCCTGGTTTTTGGTTTGTTTGTTTTCTTTCTTTCTTTCTTTTCGGAAGCATTTAACAGGCTATGACCACATTTGCATGTTAGCATTTATTGCCCAAGCATATTAAACTATACCAAACAAAAGTATACAAGAGACACTTTTTAGACCCCATTTATATGAGTTGTTTTTTAAGCTCTCTAAAATTAGAAAGTGCAAGCCAGCAGCAACCCCCCCCCCCCTGCCCCATTCTGGTCCTGAATGTTCAAGTCTCCCGTCTCCTCACAGATGGCTTACCATCCCAGTTTCCCCTTGGCTCCCTCCCTACCCAACAACGTGCAGCAGAGCTGCAGCAGGCCCAAAGCCTAGAGGGCTCTGCACATATGCAGGCCCCAGCCCTCTGGAGCTGCAGAGGATGAAGATGGGACAGGGACTCCCCAAGGCTGGAGATGGAGCTGCTTTGCTTGGTACTTTCTACCTTCCAGGTGCCTTACTAGGTGTTTCTCTGACTAAAAATAACAACTGCACTTTGCATGAATCCTGGCATTTAGTAAGAAGTATAGAAAGGTTTTCATTATCTCCCTGACCCTGGCAGCTCTTTAGGGGCACAAAATGCACCTCTCATCTTTCCATTAGCCTCCTTGGAACTGATACACCCCAGCTCAGTAAAGGAACATTGCCGCTCACCTCCCGGAGGAGGAACAAAACAGATTCCGTGAAAGCACTGGCAGGGAAGCAGTTCCTAAAACGGTTCTGTTTTACAAGGGACCCAACTTACTGTGGATTCCTCGGTGCTCTCGTCAGTTGAGAGAATCCCGGTGATCTCTGGGGTTTGGGGGGTGGTATACAAACCATCTGTTGGCCATGATTTTCACCAAAGCCAATGTGACTCTCACAGTCAAACTATGCCCACACTGCGGCAAGCATGCGGAGGCAGGGGAATGCCCTGAGGCCAAAACATCAGCCCCTATGTGTGCGTAAGGATCAAATCAGGGAGTGAAGAGGGCTGGAGAACAAGGATGACCTAGGCCAGCAGGGTCACCTGGGAAGAACAGAACTGACCCTCCCGACGGGGCGCAACCTTCAACGTTTGCCCGTTCCAAAGTTGAACTACTACAGGAAGCGAAAACCACGTTGCAGCCTGGCCGGCCCTCACAGGAGGGAAAGAGTGTGTTAGAAAGCAGTTGTTGCAGGACAGTTAGCGTCTGTACGGTTGAACATGCCGGAGGTCAGACAGACACCAAGACTCGGGCTCCTTATCCTGTAGTCACTGGGCCATCTGTACCACCACAGCCCTCCAGGCTTTCTCCTTGTCAAACTCCTTCAGGGGGCTTCTGGCCACCTGTGATAAGAGACAAGGACAGTGTTACCTCATCGGGGCCGGACCTGGAAGGAAGGCAAATTCAGCTCAGTCTGTGCAGCATCTTGGGTTCTTGGAGGCAAGCTTCTACACTTGTGAAAGAACTGAGGGGAGAGGACGCTAGAGAAGGGACAGACCATCTTAGAAATGCCCGCATATCCTTCCAGAGCGTCGGCAGGTGTCAAATGGGCATGCAACTGGCAGCAAAAGAAGTGGACAACTGAGGCCGAGACATGCCTCCAGACACGAGAAAGGGTAACTCTAGCTTGCACACTTATTCAGAGCTCCAAAGATGGATACTTCTGGAATCTGGCAACAACAATTTATTCACCTGGCTCTAGGGCCTGCTAGTCAGGACACGGACCTGCCAGGCAGGACCTGCCTGGACATCTCCTTGGGCACAGAACAACCAGGTACTTTGTGGTCACTTCCTTGATGGCAGTGGGTAAGTTTGTCCAAGAAGACCCTACAGGGACAGATTGGCTCAGGGAGCAGGCCCAACCTGTTGTGGGGGCATCAGAACTTAGGATGGGGTTTGGGGGTAGGGAGAGTCTCGTTCAGATAAGTGTGGACTGGCTACTCCCCGCCCACTGGTCACTGGAATGTCTAGATGCAGGAGCTCCACATGCCAGGCAGGGGCAGCCCTCCCCTGCAGAGCATGGCATCTTCTGTGGGAGTCTAGGAAAGGCTTTCTCTGTGTCTGTGAAAGCACAGCGGGAAGCCCTATGGCCATGGCATTTTTTCATGAATGGGTTTGTGCTCATTTTTAAAAAATAACCTAGTTCAAACTTTATTTCTCCATGATTTTTCTTGGGTGTTTAAAACCGCAAATAAAGGAAAAACAACACAAAACATCACAACAAATACTGAAGGACATCCATTTCTCTGAGGACCCAGGATAGGGCATCCTGGGAAGGCAGACCACTCACCTCCCCTGCTGGGCGCTCCTGGGGACAGGCCTGGGTGTCCCAGGATGCAGCCTGTAGCCGGGCGTTGACCTTGAAGCTCACACATTGGATGGCTGTGCCAGTGTTGAGGCCTCCCTGAAGCAATAGCACCAGCAGCAAGAGCAGGAGCAGCACATCATAGGACTACAATGAAAGATCAAGACGTGAGCAGGTCCACAGGCAGACTCCTGCCAGTTTTCCCCAAGACGTGAGCAGGTCCGCAGGCAGACTCTTGCCAATTCTTCCCTGTCTAAGGCTTCCACAGAGTCAGAACCACTTGACCATTGAGCCCTGGAAATCCAAACATGCTTTCTTTTTTCAGTACTCTGAACCAGAACATTCCAGTTCAATCAATTCCGCTAGCTTGCATTTTACAAGTGAGCATAAGAAGGACCCAGGCTGTGTTCCTTCCACCCCTCCAATCCAACAACTATAGGCAGGTTAAGATCATGTGGGACTCCTGTGGCTCATGCTGAAGATGTGCAAAGGGCAGGAGAGGCCAAAAATGTCAATTATATATCTGCAGGAAACACACTCCTGATAGTGGAATTGGCTCTGAAGAGCCTTTGGCTGAAGGAAAGTCATGGGCCCAGACCTACCAGCAAAGAGACCTGAACACCAGATGCTGGTGAGGGAGAGGCAATAAGAGAGAACAAGAAGACAGGGCAAGAGTCCTTGTCCTGAGTCCAGGGGCCAGAGGCAATAAAATGCACTTCATATAGCAAGGGTGCTTCAGAAATATCCACAAAGCAACCAGATGGATGGCTTTCAGCACCATCCCACAGAAACACAGAGCAACTAAATGTTAACCCATAAAGGACATAGTGCTGACTGGCATGATGATGTGAGTCCATGATCCCAGCACTCAGGAGGCCTGGGCAGGAGGATCTCAAGTTCAAGGCTGACCCTGTCTCAAAAATTAAAATATAAATTCATGCATAAATGCAAAAGCTACGTGTGTCCCAAAAAGAGGAGTTTTCCTGTCTGGAAGGGAAGGAAGCAGATATGCAGCCTCTGCCATTAGTACAGGGCAGTCCCAGTACACAGCAAGAGGATGGAACAGACGGCGGCATATGAGGAGAGGACCTTGCAGGCAGGAGCACAGTCCATGAGAAAGTGTGTCAAAGGACTGAGGGAAACAAGGACTTTTATGCAAATGTGGCTTCAACAAGGGAAGCATCTTGAAAAAGATGAAATTGGTGATCCATGGCTTTGCCATGCTCTGGAAAAATCGTGCTAGAAAGCTCTCTGGTGAGGACTTAAGGGTCCAGACATATCTGCTATCTCTAGAGTCCCTCTTCCAGGTGCTCATCCTCAAATCCACATGACATGTGCATAAAGGCTGGTCATCAGCAGCTAGTCATAACAGCAAACGGCTGGAAATAACCCAGTTCCCATCACCAGGGACTTGTCAGGCCAATGGGGCAACATTTGATCAGATTAATGAGAGAGTGCAGAGGAGTTCTGATCCCTCTGGGTGTTTACCAAACACTAAGGTAAATTATTGAGTTAAATAATGACCCCTAGGGCTGGAGAGATGGCTCAGCCGTTAAAGGCTAGGCTCACAACCAAAAATAATGACCCCTAACACAAGGCAGTGGTGATGCATGCCTTTAATCCCAGCACTCAGGAAGCAGAAGCTAGAGGATCTCGGTGAGTTTGAGGCCAGCCTGGTCTACAGAGTGAGTTCCAGGACAGCCAAGGCTACACAGAGAAGCCCCGTCTCA